AAGAAATGGAGGGCGCCAGATTAAAAGAATGATTGGGGCTCCTGGAATTCAATTAAAAAAGAATAGGAATGCATTCCCGCATCATCGGCGCTCTTGGACCTCGAATAATTTAAAAATGAATAGGAATGCATTGAATATCTTGATTTTCAGGATTGGTCACCAAAAAAAATCTTTAAATGTGTCCCCCTTTCCCCATACGAAATGCCACCTATTCTGAATTAGCTTTGGAAGGCTAATTTTCAAAAAAAAATCTTTAAATGTGGTCCTTTTTATTAATCTGACCCTCGGATTAAGTAGATAGAATTTGGGGTATGTGGGAATCTTATTCTAATATACCCAAAGCCATATTCTATCTACTTAAGGGAGACTATAACCCTAATATGTATATACATATATATATACATATACCTTATTGTAATATGAGAGTTTCCATTTTCTTTTCCATTATCCCTATATAACCCCAATGAGGGAGACTATAATTGAATAATACAATGGTTGATCAGACTTCCGCCCTCGGATGGTAGGGTTCAGGGATTAGCGTGGCAGAGTCTCTGAAAAAGGCGCCCTACTTAGAACATGGAACTTGTTGTGAGTGTTATTTTATTTGGGGATACTATGGTACCCATTATAGAGTGAGATTCTATCCTCCTTTTGGGTTATAGTATTTTATATAAGGAATATAATCTTCTTACTAGGTTCAACCACCAAAAAACAGCTACTCGTGTGGGCCTTATCCTACAACCCTACGGGTCCAAGTACCTAATAATTATATACTTGACCAGAACCTACATTAAGATTACTATTACCCAAAACCCAAGTACTCGTACCTAATTATTGAGTACATGGACCCTTTGGGTAAGGCTCTTAAGACTATCTCGACTTTTTGGGTGGTTTTTTGGGCTTGCAATCTGAGCCTACCAAGCGGGTTGAAGAGTCTTAGGGTTGAATGGGAACAGGCCTAAGCCCGAGCCTTCTAAACCCTAAAATCTCCGTAAGTAGATGGAATATGTGGTATATGGGGATCTTATTACAATATCCCCAAAGCCATATTCTATCTACGACTATATATAGACCCCTAAACCTCCAGTATAAGTGTAAGTGTTGGGTAGACATATGAGCACCTTTGGGCTTCCGAGCAGGCTGCTAGGGCATCCCTTTGAGTGTATGATATGCCAGACGACAACAGTATTTTGTGTAATACAGCAACAATTACCAGAGTTCAGGGTTTAGGCGGATTAAGGTTTAGAGTTAAGGGTTTAGGGTTTAGAGTTAAGGGTTTAGAGTTAATCAAAGGCTTAGAGTCTTAGAGTTTAGGATTTAGGGTTTGGGAATAGTGACGCTTGCAGAACCAGGAATGTCCGCAATTGTATTAGTACTAGAACAGTAGAAAGATCATTTGAGTTTCTTGCCGTTTTCCAACATGTTGCTCATTGACGCACGGGTTGAAGCGTGTTGTGTGATCAGACGTTCAGGCCCTAAACCTGAAAACCTAAGCCCTAAACCTTAAGCCCTAAATCCTAAGCCCAAAAACCTAAGCCCTAAACCCCGAGCCCCAAATCTGATTGGTTTGCTATCTTCAACCACGGCCTTTTTTAGCCCCTTCGCTGCGAGATCCCCATTGCACGGGTTTCGGTTCATCGCTTGTAGGTTTGAGTGTTCAGGGTTCGAGGTTAAGGGAAAGTAGGGTTTATAGGGTTAAGGCTGCGTTCCCCATTCCTTCCTGCGAGTTATTTCCGCATCTGAATTTGTTCGAAACCACCTTAAGCCGACCTGAAATCTAGTCTGGCATCTTTTCTTGCAATGGGGGCTTCTTCACAGTATAGGTAGCGCTGAGCGCATGAAGCTGGACCAACAATCCCCTTTAACCCATGACATGGTAGCTGGAGTTCACCAGGTACTACCTCACGGGGGGCAAACCGCACCCTCATAATCAGGAGGGTACTGGAAGCTCTACGAGGGCCATCAAATTCGAGATGGATCATAGAAAAGTGTGTCGCGCTTTAATTTGTTGAGTTTTATTTTGGGGTTTGCGCGAAACTGTGGTTTCGGCAAAATTTTTGCGTGCCGGCTTTCTGGAGTATTTTCGAAGGATTTCGGGCTGAGATTGCAGACGTTTGCTTTTGACGCACTCGTGTCAGAGTCGCGCTTTTCGCTTCAGGGTCTTGCCTGTCGCGAGCAAAAGCTGGCGACGTTTCTCAAATCGCCACTGCCACAGCCGCACATACTGCAGCAGCACTGGGTTTGGCTTGCTTCGCTTGACAGAGCGCTGGGCACCCAAGACTTGATCTGTTGTCACACAGCATCTGATTATGGTTTGGGCATGGATGCTTTGGTTATCGGATGCACTCGGAACACGAACGTTATTATGGTTTGGGCATGGAGGCTTTGGTTACCGTATGCTCTGGGAACACGAACGTTATTATGGTTTGAGCATGGATGCTCTGGTTATCGGACGCACTCGCAACACGAACGTTATTATGGTTTGGGCATAAGTTCTCAGGGGCTCTGTGTCTTTCAGGTCAACAGCACGCTACTACCCCCCTCCCCCCCACCCCCTTCCTACGGAAATCCCCTCGTGTGCAAGCACTAGGACCGCCTCGAATAGGGGTATATGGCCCCTAATACCTAATGGTGTGTATTTAGGGTAAAGAGGGTAGATGGAGGTTGTAAGTGGAGGTGTTCATGTTCCGGTTGCAGCTGTTTTCTTTAGATCCTTTACGTGATGCCTTGTCACATGCACCAAGCGGGTGTATTTTACTGGCCAAAGTCATAGCATGAAGTTGCGAATACACCCACAGGTGACATCTGTCACCACTGCAGGACCCCAGCAAGATCAAGATCACTTGGAAATTGGAGGTATGAACCTCGAGTGAAGAACGGGCAAGCAAAACTTTAGACCGCATAATTTAGGCAGCGTCTATGTAGCATTGAGTGCCGACTTACCCCGTCTTGTTGCTGTTGTCTTCTGGAGTCCCAGTAGGACGCATCTCATGAGAGGAGCGGAATGCTCTTAAAAGTTATAGGTGCCTTTTCATGAGGGGTGTACATCAGTTCCTGATGTTGGGGAGGGTGGGAGGTCCTTGATCTTAGCGTAAACCCTAATTGCGCAGTGACTCTCACAGTCTGATCTTTGGCAGTTTAGGGCTCAGGAAACTTTACCCTGATCACACTGAAGTGCTATACATAGTGCTCATGGAGGAAATCTTGCACTGCCTTAAGTCCCTAAAGTCCCAAGAATTACAGTAGTTTAGGGCCCCTAGGTGGTGCATCATCCATCAACAGTACGGTTCAAGGTTCAGAGTTTAGGGTTCAATGATGGCGACGGACACTGCTTTGGCCCGTGCCAATCGGGCTAGTACTTCTTACCCATGTGAGGGCATAACCAAAAGGCCCTTCCCGTTGGGTGTTTTTATTAAGTAGGTGCTACGTGATTTTTGCAATGGCTCCAAACACTAGCAACCTGGTACCAAGTACAATTCGTACAGTTCAGTCGCCACGCTGTGGCTGAGTGCCCAGCTTATGCTTGCCCACTTCAACGCACGCGCGATGAGCCTCAAAGGCAAGGCTCATCATGAGTCTCGCTTATTGGCAGCAAAGAAGAGAGTCCTCATATGTCCTTATGTCCAGTAATTTTGCGTTTTTGACCGGCTGGTTTGACTATCCCTGATTTCCAGATTTTTCTTGCTGAGTGGAGCAGGTAACGTGTTGTGTTCCGGGACCGGTTGTGCCCTTAAATAAGGGTATCTATTCCCTAAGAGTGGGTATTCATGGTGTACATATATATATATATATATAGAGCGTAGATGGAGGGTCTAGCTTTGCACTGCAGCATCAGAAGCCTCAACTACATTCTGACGAGGATGGACGCCCAACATCTGCACCTTCCATTTTCTCTTTCCGCATGTGTCAAGACTGCCTGACTGCCAAGAGATCACAAGGGCTTAGGGTTCGCAGGGCTTGGGGTTTAGGCTCAAAATCATGTCTGATATCCAACGACTTTGCTGCATTTGTAGAGTACTGGTTGGTTCCAGGGACTTAGTAGGTCGAGTGCCGATCCCCGGGAGCCTGCGTAGTTAGCTGCACCATGCTCCTGCGAATCTTTCTTACTGCGCCTGCCCGAGCTTCCAACATAGGTTAGGCTTTAGAGGTTCAGGTATCAGGGCAACCTGCTTCCTGAATCTTGCCAGGATGAGCTTACAAATTGGGTACTGCCCCCACCCAGTAACTGTCTGTATTAGGGGTCCTATTAAGGGCTATATATAACCATATTATTATTATTATTATCCAACTGTTCCTGAAGGGGGGCAGTACCCGACTTACAAATTTGGTATCCAAGTGGGGTGGCTTTTGGGAGTCCAGGCAGCGCGGAGCATATCATACAGTATGCGTGCGATTCGCGTACCCTAAGGGTCCAAGGACCCAAATAATAGGGTTCTAGGGCCCAAATACCATTAATAATATAGTATTTGGGCCCTAAAACCCTTTTATTTGGGTCCCTGGACCCTTAGTGGTAGGGTGCTGATGGTCAGGTCTGTTCTTGGCACAGCACACTTCCTGCCGTCGTTGTGAAAGCTATGTCGATCTTCTCTTGGGCATGGATCATATCAACTCAATCCTCATCCATGGGAGTCTTGAGATGGGAGCCTCCAGGAACGATTTTACAGAGACACCACTATATTGCAGAAAAGTCCACCAGAAGTTATGGTGGCTTTAGTCAGGAAAGTTCCCAATCTTGCAATGTTTGCTGTGACATGCAACATGTCTAGACAAGTAATATCGACGCCAGCCTGTCCTTAACCCCAAATGGTGGTTCATGAAGAAAATCGACCAATGACGTTCTCCCCGGCTTCAGAAGTAGTGCAGTTTAGCCAAACAAGTTGAAGGTCAAGCAGCTTCGGACGTGCAAGATTAGCTTCAAGTTCTGTGCCCTTCGCCCTTTGCACCATCCGCCCAATATGTCAAAGGACCCAGAACGGGCAGATGAGCAGACGGCTACGCAGATGCAGGAGGTCTCTGATATAGACGACATAGATCTGAGCGTCACCCACCGGTGCGAAGGTCTTCGTCAACTTACTGCCAGGCTGACAGGCAGCCTCAGTCCAGCACCCGCAGATCACCCAGAAAAGGGGCCACGGTTTACCCCCAATATCCAGGCATTGATTCTGACAGCAGTCCTGTTTACTGCCATTACACTCGCGCAAGTGGCGGCGGCAAACATTGCGAACTCACAAGCTTTGCTGATGGACTGCACCTAGGCCCTTCTTGGTAACGCTTTGGTTCTACGGCTGCTGCTATGTCATGCACTGTGACAACCTCGGTCAGCAACTGCAACTGGCTTTCGGTCAGATGATATCGCAATTCTTTTCAAGATGTAGAGGAAGAATTTGGGCAATCACAAGAAAAGCTGCGAAAGCCAGGTGTTGTGCATCTCGTTGGTCACAAGTGTGACTAGACGCCTAAGCAAGGATATTAGGTTCTCAGAGCACAACACCCTAGAGATGCATCCCTCTAACGTGTCGTAGAGGGATTTTTCAGGGTAGATCGGAACGCGTAGGGTTTTTAAGGCCTTGTTGAACGTCTTAGTTCTTTCGGGGCATTCCCTGCGATAGAAATCCCAGTAAGTATATTAGGGCAGGGGACAGTGGTCGCAGAGACGTTACACGAGTAGCATTATTTGGAGTGGCAAGTTGTAGAATATTATGCAGTGTTGACATTCGAAAACATGGGCACGTAGGAGTATATCTCCAGGCTTCATATTGTACAGAGAGTCCAGGCGTTGACACCCCAAACCCTGAGCCCTAAATCCTGAGCCCTAAAACCCTAAACTGGTAACCCTATCCAGGCATATCCATGGGCGTCGACGCCCTGACCTACATGGGCAACATTATCGTGGAGTGTAGGAAGCGAGATGGGAAAGCTCATGAGGGCTCGCAGATCCACGACCTTGGATTTGGGGTATTTTGGGGTTTAGGATTTCTGGGCTTTAGGGGTTTGGGGTGTTAAGGGTTTAGGATTTGTGGGGTTTAGTGTGACGCTCCTTGGGTGTATTTGCACCCGGGGATGGGAATTCAAATCGAAAATACCATTGTAATGGCAACTGGGGTTCTATAGTTGTTTCTCTAGAGTGGGTTGAAGGCATGAAGGATGTATGAAGGAAGGTTTTGCCTGTGGTTTTTGGGCTACGGGCTTCAACTTTGGCTTAGACCGGCATATCCATGTGAGAATGGCCCCTAACTAGCTTCATGGAATTCATGGCATCGATTCAGAAGGTATGTGTGTGGACGGTCCGTGGACTCTCTTTCCAATGGTGGTCGCCGCTTTCGAGATTTGGTAGTTTTCCAAAATAAGGGGACCCCACTATAGACCGCCAAATACCACATGGGCGGTTGTCAAAATTATGGTCCCTTTTTGGATCCCTTTATAATACGGCACTTCATATATATGGTACACAAAAAAACGCCATAATTTTGACAACCACCCACATCCTTAATATGGGGGCCCCCGGCAAGGTACCCGTAATTTTACCAAACCCCAATTTCTGGCGTTCGTAAAAGCTGGGCCCCCCTCCCCGCATGTAACACCCCGAGATGCTGATCTTCTTAATTTCAGAATGTGTCCCCAATCTGGTTAGGGGTTTCGGGTTTAGGGTTCCAAGATTAAGGGTTCCTTTCAAAGCTTATATCATGAACATTGTGGTATATTGGGTCTGTATGTCATAGATGACAAGGATTAAAGCATATTGGGGATGGGCTCGCCAGCTTTGGCAACTACCACACTGTTGATGTGCAACAATCCTGCAAATCCTGCATGACCTTACTATACTGTAGTACTATGATTCCCAATGTTCAATATACTTGGGGTCATGCAGGATTTTCAGCAACCACCATATTTCAGCTTGAAGATAAAAGTCAAGCTCCACAAGCTTCTGCGAGGATGTTCCCCAAGAGTTGTTGCATGCCTGGTCCCTCCTTCTACCCTCAAATAGCCGTATATGAGTTGTAGTCTAAACTCCTTAAAGGGGGTAATATAGGGGACTATATAGGGGACTACTATAGGGGCTATGAAGGGGGATACTAGGAGTCTAGACTATGGCTCATTTGGTCCCTACTAGTAATGTCGGATTCGGATTACAA